CCATCACCCTTCCCTGACACGTCGGCCTGATGCATTTTAAACAAAGATTAACCTGGCTGTTTGCTTTTAATTCTGAGGCTGTGTTAATACTCAACTCCCTCTAGCTTAGGAGAGAAGAAAAATCCACTCCCACACGCACCGCGGCGGCCCGGCAGGGCTGCTGTTCCCCACGGTGTCATGGTCCCCGGTGACTAGAGCCTGCTGGCGGCACTTACCACATGAGGAGGGCCACGAGAGCCACTATCAGGGTCATGGTCACCAAGGGGCCGTTCCCCTCCTGCTGCAGAAACCCCAAGGCTTCCATGGGTCCTTCCAAGAAGAGAGCAGGGTCTTCCAGGGACAGTGAGGCTGACCCCAGCCCTCAGAGCAACCTGGAGCTGCAGGTGGAGGACTAAACAGGGAACCGAGAAAGGATCCCAGCAGAGGGGTTCCACAAATGAGCTCTTTCTCAGGGTGACGCCTTATAAAGAGGAAGGAAGAGGAGGGAAAAACAAAGAGCCTCTGTGAAGGCAGTGAGTGAATCAGCAAGTCTCTTGATGGCTGGTCAGTCAATAAACATTTATGTTAAGTCCCCTGGGGGCAGCAGCACAACGGACCCCACGTTGGCCAAGGAACAAAATGGCTGCCACCAAAGGCTTCTCCTCAGACAAGCAAGTCCCACAGAAGACTGCCCTCGACAACAATAAAATCATCCTTTAACTCAGAATTAAATGGAGTTGTGGCTCAGGAGACAGAATGTTCTGGAAAATGCGGTACCGGCCAGCAGCCTGGTGACGATGCCGGCTGCACTGAGGGCGTCACCCGCAGCAGTCACTGTGCTTGGGGTCTAATGGCTCTCTGGGGTCAGTGGGCTCCCTGGTGGCTGGCTGGCAGATAGACCAAAGATCTGCCCCATCGGTGCTCTCCCCGGGAGTGAAAGAGTCTTGGGGGTCTGAGAGGTTTCCCACAGGCTCAAGGAGCTGACCTGACCGTAGATGGAGTGGTTTGTTTGCTTATCAGTCAGTGTGTTATTCCTACGAGCAATGAGACAAGTGTATCAGAGCAAGTGATACTCATAGGGACACCCACCCATCCATCCAGTCACCACACGGGGGCTCTGTGCCTGGTGGGCAGAGTTTGGACAACAGATGTGGTCCTTGATCTGAGGAGGCAGGCAATGGACAGGTAAACAGTTGAGTGGTTACAAGTTGGGATTAGTGCAGTGACATCCAGCATGTCAAAGGTCCCATTTCTCTTTCATGAAGATGACGCTGAGTGTGGATAAGGGATGAGCTGGAAGGGAGCAGGCGAGCGGCAGGAGGGTGCTGACAAGGGG